TTGTGTCTTAAGTGAGCGCATAATAAGTTTCTTGTTGATATGTTAAATGTTTCTGAGAAGTTCTGTAATACATTTGCTTTCAGTAGGTCTGGAAAGTTTCTACAGGTTTCGTAGGAGGTTCTTCATTTGGTGACAGGACCTTGAGAATTAATACAAAAGTTGCTCTTTTGTCAGGATCCTGAAAAAAAAAAGACTGTTGCGAGCCAATTTGTGTTAACACTATGACCTTGTTGAAGCATGCTTCCATAATCAACTGTATAACTGGTGGGCTTCCTTCTGGAGCACACATTGGAAGAGGATCATTGAGAATATGCTCCTTTGCTTTTTGGTTCGTTTCTCCTGGGAACGGATCCGAGCAGCACTTTGCAAAGATTTCCCAGAGTAGGACCCCATAACTCCATACGTCCGTTTTATTCGAAAAGACACCCTAAGGCGAAAACATGTTGTAATAAGGCAAATCTACTTATAGTACCCGCACACTTGCCTGACGTAATGTCTCTGGAGCTAACCATTTGATTGGCACATTTTTGAGCTTATCCATTTTCATCTGAGTTTTGTCGGCAATGGAGAGTCCAAAATCTGATATCTTCAGCTCATCCTGCTTCCCTAGTAGGCAATTTCTTGCGGCGAGGTCTCGATGAATCACCTAGAGCTCGTTAATGTAATATTACGTCGTCTTTTCTCTGAGCGAACCTTCTGAGCTGCTAGATAGCACATTCCGCGAGCCCCATCTGTAGCAAATTGCAATAGTTTTTCCGCAGAAATGTCCGTATGGTTTTTACAATAACTCTAAAATTGGCAAATAATTTTTCTTGTCAGAAATGTCCGTATGGTTCATACAATAACCCTAGAATTGGCAAATAATTTTTTTGTAAGTTTTCAATAGTTAGTGTCTCCCGGACAGATCGACATCTAAATTCCATACCAATGAAGCAGAACTAGGGATCAGCAGAATCGAAATTCGCTATGGCTGCAATATCACGTGTGTCAGGCGTGCCACTGCTTACCTTGAGTTGCGCAGTCAGTCCTTTTCGGCGTGGATCTTCTTGATTTGGATGATGGTTTTAGAAGCGCTGCGTGATCATTGATTGTATTGGCGTTGATTGAAACTCGACTGCTGCTGGTAGACGCTGTGGAGAAACTGACTTTCGCGCTAACCTGGTGATACTTATATCTGGAGGGAGTGTTGTGCAGCGCGAGGATTAGCGCCTGTGATCGCACAGCGGGCGGCGACTCCCTGAAGTCAGCAATGCGGACAAAGGAAAAACGCAGAAGATCTTTTTTTCAGCGAGGAAATTTTTCAAAAGGAATTCTCGTGTTTTTTCCTGAAGTCTTGCAAAGAGAGGTCTTAGTGACAATGACGTTCATATTTTATGTGTGCGCAGCGATGACGAAACGAGCTGAAAGTAGGGTAGTAGG